GCTTGTACTGCCGGTTCTAGTGAACGGCTCTGTCGCCTGCCGGTCGGTCCTTGGGCTCTTGCCGGAATGCGCGGCTTTCCTGCCACTAAATCTTACCTAGTACTTCTGTCAGTCAGCACTCTGCGGAGAGAGCCCTGTACAAGCTTGGGCAGGCAGTGTGTGTTAGAAGGTGAGATGGCAAAGCAAACAAGATTAGATCCCAGCTTTTAAATGGCGCGACTAGTACACGTGACTGGATCAGCGCATTTTTATAAAACATTTTTTCTCAAGTGAAAATGTGTAGGATTAATTTCATCTGCAAGTGCTGAGAGATCAGAAATATTTAAGTTGTAGAATGCTACTTGTGGGATGTCTTTTGAATTACAGCTTGAAGGAGATGAAGGGAAGATGGACACGTGTGTACCCCTCCTCCATTGTTACACCTTTTTTTTTTTTTTGAGACAGAGCCTCAAGCTATCCCCCTGGGTAGAGTGCCGTGCCATCACAGCTCACAGCAACCTCCAACTCCTGGGCTCAAGCGAGTCTCCTGCCTTCACCTCCCAAGTAGCTGGGACCACAGGCGCCCGCCACAACGCCCGGCTATTTTTTTTTGGTTGCAGCCGTCATTGTTGTTTGGCGGGTCCGGGCTGGATTCGAACCCGCCACCTAAGGTGTATGTGACTGGCGCCTTAGCCGCTTGAGCCACAGGCGCCGAGCCATTGTTAAACACCTTTTATCTCCTGTGGCTCTCTTCTACCCCTGCCTACAACCCGCTTGAGGTCTGGCTTTCCTACCACTCTCTGCTATGGTCCATTTAGAATTCTAGGAGGTCAGAGGTCAAAGAGACCCTAGAACAGTGGTTCTTAACCTTCCTAAAGCCACGACGCTTTAATACAGTTCCTCATGTTGTGGTGACCCCCAACGATAAAATTATTTTCATTGCTACAGCACCACAACATGAGGAACTGTATAAAAGGGTCGCGCTATTAGGAAGGTTGAGAACCACTGCCCTAGAACAATGGCTCCTAAGCACTAAAGGGCATATAGATCACCTGAAGATACTGTTGATTTTCAGATTTCAATTTGATAGACTTAGTTTGGGGCCTGAGATTTTAAAATTGCTAACAGGCTTCCAGGTGATGCTAATGTTGCTTTTCCATTGACCACACTAAATAGTGAGGCTCTGGTCCTATTTCATAATTTTATTAGGTGGTGAGGTTGAGTTCCAGAGAGGGAAAGAAACTTGTCCAGTTTCACCCAGCTGGAGGGGAAGCAGGGCCAGAACTCCTAGGCATCCGTCCCAGCCCAGTGCTGCTTTATTTTCACCATACTGCATTTTCTTCCCAGCGCATTGCTGTTTGTAACTTGCCTTTATATATAAAAATGAAGTTGCTGCTCCTTACTGTATGTACACTGTTTTAATTAGCTTAGCTCTGCTGTTTCTGTGTGGATTTCAACACCCGCCCTGGGATGCCCAATGGGGTCTGTAACACTTACCAGTGTGTATGTAGGGGAAAGGGAAAGTCTGAACAGGGGAAAGGATTCTAATTTTCCTGTCCAAGTAAGGCTAAGCTTTCTGTAGGTGGTAGGAGGTTACAGTGTTCTGCAGAGAATATCCTTTTATGAAAGGATGTTTTTGATGGTGTCAATTCTCTTTTCTCCCTAGCCAAAGCAGCAGGGAAATTAATTTACTTATCAGTATGTGTGTGTCCTCCAAAGCAAGAGATTAGTGTGTAGGTTAATGAATGAGGTGTGTGACCATTATTTGAATAACCTTATTTTCCTTGAGATTTAGTTAACCTGTAATGTCATCAACTGAACATTTTTTAGCCTGTGGACTCCAGATTTCTTTCCCTTTGAAAGTTAAAGGTTTCGGATCATGTGTCCTTGATCATCTATACAAAATTGTATGAGGGATGAATAATAATAGTGGAGTAGGCTTGACGCCTGTGGCTCAAGCGGCTAAGGCGCCAGCCACATACAACTAAGGTGGCGGGTTCGAATCCCCAGCCCGGGCCCACCAAACAACAATGATGGCTGCAACCAAAAAATGGCCAGGCGTTGTGACTGGCGCCTGTGGTCCCAGCTACTTGGGAGGCTGAGGCAGGAGACTCGCTTGAGCCCAGGAGTTGGAGGTTGCTGTGAGCGTGATGCCATGGCACTCTACCTAGGGGGAACGCTTGAGGCTCTGTCTCAAAAAAAAAAAAAAATAATAGTGGAGTAAGTGGTTTTCATACAGTGCAGTTAAATGGGGGGAGGTGGGTGCATCATCCAGTTTAGTTTTATTGCTGCTTGGCTGAGTTTTGAGGGATGAGATGGAAAATAAGTTTGTATTTGAGAGAAGAGAAGGAGAGTAAGACACAGCATTTATTAAGTGTCTGCTATGGGTCAGTTTTTGCATATATATAAATTTACATTTGAGTCACACAAATCCTTTGCAAGTAAATGATGTTATAGCAGTTTTGTAAATGAGGAAACGGGCTCAGAGATGCTAATTTGGCTAGTTTAGCATTTAGAATTCTAGGAGGCCCAGTTGCACAGACTCGGAATCCTGTGCTCATTCTACCTCTTCACATTATGGCTTTTTACTGTTTTGGAATATTTTTGAGTGTGATCAGAGAGACTTCACAGTATTTTAGAAAGATCTGTGAAAGAGCTGAGTGATCTATGCCACGTAAAAGTTTGTCCTGAGTAAGTCACTTAGCTCATCTGAGACTATAAAATGGAGAGAATTCTGTCTGCCCTGCTTAGCCTTGAGGTGCAATGTGAGAATAAACTGAAGTAATACATTTGAATGCTCATGCTTATACTGACTTTTCTTAACCTATGAAATGTCTAATACTTCTCTATCCAAAGCAAAACCCAAATCAGACTTTCTCCTTTCTTAAACTTTCTCCGCAAGCTGCCTTCTCTGTTTGCCTTCTTACTAACCTGGCCCCAGCCTAGCTTTTCACCTCCATTCTTCCCCCTCCCCCGTCCATACTGCAGGCAATTGGGATATCCCTGAACTCTGTGTGTTCATGCTTCTGCTTGGCCTCAGGCTTTCTTTCCCTAGAAAGTTCCTCAGTCACCTTGAGGACCTGTTTGCCATGTGAACCCTCATCAGATGTTATTTCCTCTGTAATACCTTCATCTACCCCCATCCTGGACAAGATTACTGACTTTGCATTGTGTTTCTATAGTACTGTCTTAGTTGGGGTTGCTATAATAAAGTGCCACGGACTGGGTGGCTTAAACAACAGACAGTGCTGGAGGCTGAGAAGTCCAAGATCAAGGCACTGGCAGATTTGGTGTCTGGTGAGAGCCTGCTTCCTAGATGGCTATCTTCTTTATACTCATGTGGAAAAGGGTAAGAGAGCTCTCTTGGGAAGGTCTCCTTTTTGTGAGGTCTCTTCTGTGAGACCTAAATATCTCCCAAAGATCTAATATCCTAATATCATCACATTGGGGGTTAGAATGTCAACATATGTGTCAGAGATAGTGTCTCACACTTGTAATCTCCAACATTTTTTGAAGGTTGAGGCAGGAGGCTCACTAGAGGCCAAGAGTTCAAGGCCAGCTGGGCAAAATAGTGAGATCTTGTCTCTCTGGTAGAAAAAAAAGAATGGAAGAATGTAAACATATGAATTTGGGGTGGACAGGCACATTCAGTCCATAACAAGTAATTTGTATCTACCTTTATTAAATCACCTGTCACATTTTTGTTAACTAGAGCTGTATATGTGAATAATTCCATGCTAGGATCTATGATTTGTATTTTTGTCTCCATTGCCTGAACTATATGGTACATCATGGTAAGTTTGTTGTATTGTCTTTAGTTCTCTCTTAGGGAATCCTGTTCTTTTTTTTGAGACAGAGCCTCAAGCTATCCCCCTGAGTAGAGTGCTGTGCCATCACAGCTCACAGCAACCTTCAACTCCTGGGCTCAAGCGAGTCTCTTGCCTCAGCCTCCCAGATAGCTGGGACCACAGGTGCTCGCCACAATGCCCGGGTATTTTTTGGTTGCAGCTGTCATTGTTCTTTTGGCAGGCCCAGGCTGGATTTGAACCTTAGGTTATGTGGCTGGTGCCTTAGCCACTTGAGCCACAGACTCTGAGCCAGGGAAACCTGTTCTTTGTTAAATGCAGTTGAGCTTAGAAATTAAATATGGGTGGAGTTAGAAGGGCAGTTGTATCTGGGTAGAAAGAGCCTTTTATATATCCAAACAATGATTCTTCCTAATTATGTATTTGCTTGTAGGACAAATATGTATATCCTATCTATTGGGGATTCACAAACTTGAAGAACCTTAAGGAATATAAGGTTCCTTACATCCTTATATCCACATTGAGATGGAGCAAAGATAGTCCTCTTCGAGGTTATTGGGATCAAGTAATAACTGTTAAATTCTTATGTGATTTTTAATACATTACTTCCTTCTACTGTTTATCTCATCTTTTGAATTTTTTTTCTACTCAGTGTCTAGAACTGGATTATAATTTCTTCTGAATGAATGCACCTATCATGCATGTATGTGTGTATTCTCTTGTGTTTTCTGTTAGGTTGCTGTCCCCAGGAACCTATGCCTTTTAAAGAACATTAACTCTACCATCTAGCCTCCACACTATATGAACTGTCAATTTCTACATTATTTTCAATGTAAAACTCTCATGTAATTTGTCCCCAGTGTTTTTAAGCCTAAACTAAGGGCTAAGACACATCCTACTGTCCACAGAGGTTAATAGGCACTGTCTGGGCCAGCGTGCAGAGGGTGGGTATACTTATCTCCATTTTACAGTGAGCTAACTAAAGCCGAGGGAGTTTAGGTCACTTGCCCAAGGTTAAATTGTGATACAACCAATATTTGAACCCAGATTTGCCCAGCTTAAAAGTCTGTTTATTCCTAGGGATGCTATAGAGAGACTAGGTTTTCTCAAGAGTTTCCAGATAATTCTATGCTTTTTTCTGATAAATAGTGTTTTAAAAACTCCCTTTCTATTTGTAGCTCTGCCTTGGAAAAGACACTACTGAACCTGTAAGAGATGCCACTGCCACTACTACCCCGAAGCTCCAAACCTGAGGCTAAGAAATCTTCATCCAGCAAAGTTGTGCCCACTGTTCATGACCAATATGAAAAGGTTAGAGCAAGCTGTCTTTCTCGATAGTGTCTTGAGTAGTCTGTTCCCTTGTTGGTTTAGTACCAGTCCTCATCCTTGAATCTTCTGGAATATGTGTGGTTTAATGTGAGAAATTGGGGAGGCGTGGTATCCCTTTTATTTTTTATTTTTTTGCCTTTTGAAAGTTTTTTTTAGTACTTTATTAAATCATAACTGTATGTTAATACATTTATGAGGTACAGTGTGCTGATTTGATATACAAGGTGGAATGCTTACATCTAACTGATTAACATAACCATATCCTTGCTTATTTGTTGTGGTAAGACATTCATACTCTATTCTTAATAGTTTAGAAATGTATCATTGCATTATGCACATTAGGTTAGGTCTCCTCAAACCCTCCCACCTCCCGGCCTCCCCTTTACCTGCCCCTCTCCTTCTTCTTCCCTCCTCCTTTTTGAACCATAGTTATGTTTTACGAACAGAAACTTCTCTGAAGAAGACAGACGCATGGCCTACAAACACATGACAAAATGTTCATCATCTTTAATCATCAGAGAAATGCAAATCAAAACCACTTTGAGATGTCATCTAACTCCAGTAAGATTAGCCCATGTAACAAAATCCCAAAACTATAGATGTTGGCGTGGGTGTGGAGAGAAGGGAACATTTCCACACTGCTGGCATCTCTTTTAGTTGGAGAATACCAGTAAATGAGAACTTGGGAAGGAAGTGTGAACTTTTTCCCATAAATGCAATACTTAAATGAAGGCCATTTCCACAACTCTCAAAACCAAAGAACAGTCAGTCTACATATTCTTACTATTTCTGAGAAGCTAAAAGCACCTTGCTGACAGGTTATTTGGTACATCCTGGGGAAAGTATGAAGATTACATCAGCAAATATATTATCATGCTTTTTATAGCTATTACATGTGACAAATGAGTATATTTTTTACTCTGCTGTTTTGACGTTATGCGTGGTTTGACATTGTTACTCTAACCTTGGGATGTTCTGTATTTATAATCACACATAATCAGAATTATACTAACACTGATGAATTACATTCAAGAGAGTGTTTCCTGGAGCAAACATCATTAGATGAATTTAATTTCCTTGATTGGTTTTCTCTTAGCACAGATTAACATTGTCTAATCATTTACATTTTTGTTTTACTAAAATGATTTTCATGGAGTAGTCAAATTTAATTCCCATATAAATTTGTCAAGAAAGATTATATACATTAATTGGGATTTTATCCATATCAAATTTTCTGACTGTAAGTTTCCTTTTGTGGCAGTTATTTTTCTAAACCCAACTTTCTTGGAGCACATTTTGCACATATAAGTTTTATTGAGTTCAGTTTCAGTTGTAATTTTATTTTTGATTGGTTATTTCTACCACTAATATGCATACTAAGTAGGAATTAGATAATAGACTGATAATTTATTTCTTAGGTAATTTATGAGAAAATAATATTTTATTTTATTTTATTTTGAGACAGAGCCTCAAGCTGTCACCCTGGGTAGAGTGCCATGGCTTCACTGCTCACAGCAACCTCCAACTTCTGGGCTCAAGCGAGTCTCCTGCCTCAGCCTCCCAAGTAGCTGGGATCACAGGCACCCACCACAATGCCCGGCTATTTTTTGGTTGCAGCTGTTATTGTTGTTTGGCGGGCCCAGGCTGGATTTGAACCCGCCACCTTAGGTGTATGTGGCTGGCGCCTTAGCCACTTGAGCCACAGGCGCCGAGCCTAATATTTTATTTTTTACCAATTATTTCTACTAGGATTATTTATCGTGAACTAGATAAAAGTTGAATAATTTACTTATGTCTTGGCTTAGTCAATTAGAGAACAGAAGTAATTCTTCTCAGTTCTTCTAGAATTTCTCTATTATGCTGGATTGGTGTATTGTAACATGAATCTAGATCTCTAAATTTGTGATCACTTACTGTGCCATGTACTATGTATTAATGGAATAAATGGAGAATAGAGCAAATGGTCTGATCCCAGTGTCCTGCTTCACATTAGAACAATTCTCTGATATAGGTAGAGCAGGTTTGTTCTCAGAATTTCATAAGGAAAATCTGAGATATAGCAGACTTTCACCAAGTAAAATCTATTAGGTTATAGAAGAGCCCTATACTCTAACCCCATAAAGATGGTCATACTGTGGGAATGGGGTAAGGCATGCACAGATACAGAATACCTAGAAAGAGATTCCTCTTTTTTTTTTTGAGACCGAATCTCAAGCTATTCCCCTGGGTAGAGTGCTGTGGCATCACAGCTCACAGCAACCTCCAACTCCTGGGCTCAAGTGAGTCTCCTGCCTCTGCCTCCCAAGTAGCTGGGACCACAGGCGCCCACCACAACGCCCGGCAATTTTTGGTTGCAGCCGTCATTGTTGTTTTGGAGGGGCCAGGCTGGATTTGAACCCGCCACCTTGGGTGTGTGTAGTCTGCGCCTTAGCCACTTGAGCCATAGGCGCTGAGCCAAGAGATTCCTCTTTACTCTGAAATATTCATCCTTCTTCTCTGCCCTTTTCTCTTCCATATATATACTATTAGAGATTAATTTGGATTATAAAACTTTCCTTAAAATACAAAATTTTCCCTGTGAGGTTGACAATTTTATCCAGAGTACATACTTTTAAATACTGTTAAATACTATTTCTATCCATTTATAGCTTATAGAGACATTAAAAATACGTATTCTCTTATTTGATCCTCAAGGACTCTAAGGAAGGTTTTCATTCCAATTTTACTGGTAAGAAAATTGAGGCTCAGAGATTAAGTGACTTGCCCAAGGTCAACAGCTAGTAAAGAACTGATCCTGGACCAGTATGTAGGTATGTGTGTTATTATCCTTATAGGAAATGTCTTTAAGAAGCTACCTGAAATCTTCTATATTAAAGGAATGACTAAGAGTGGTGGTGGTGGTGGTGGTCTGTCTTGGATAGGATAATTATAAATATGAGAGAAGTAAGAGGAAAAATTAGCTTTACCAAGCTATAGTTCACTCTTTTTGAGAGTTATGCTGAAGGTCATCATGTCTCCTTACAGACTTATTCCTGTCATCAGTGACTGCCACCTTTAGGGACTTGATAAGCATTTCTGACTTCCAAAATGTCCTTTTCTTGTAGTTTATTGGAGTTTATTGTATGCATCCCTGGTTCTTTTGAGATCCTAGAGTTTCCACTAGACCTGAAAATAACCCAAAGTCCCTGAAGAGGCTGTTTACAATTGAATATACTCATTTACTTCTTTTACTTTTGTAGAAGGAGAAGAATTACCAAGCAAAGATATCTCCATCATCACCTCAAGGAGAACTCAAAACCAGATTGGCTTTTGAAGATCTCACCAATGTGAGTATGCTAGTCCAATCCCCTGCTGTGGTTTTATATAGGCTTGAACTACCTTTCCACTTTACTAAACACTGATCCTCTCTGGAATATTGAGAACATATTTTATTTGATATCAGTGACCAAATTTCAGAAACTGCAGGGGCTCTTCTACTGGAACATACCATGTGGATCAATTGCTGGAGTTTTCTGGAAGCAGCAGAGTGATTAACAGATAGGAAATTATAGATTAATTATAAGAACTATTGTATTTAGCTTTAGAGGTGGTTTAGCTGACTGCCTAGGCCTTGGAGGTAAGTATTTTGGTGGAATCATTGCAGTCTGGGCAGTGTATATTTGAGCATTATAGGCATTCTGGGCAGGATAGTTTTTCTATTGTGTGGGACTGACCACAACCAGCATCCTTGGCCCCATCCAGCAACAGCCCAGGCTTAGTGACAATTAAAAATACTTGGCTTGCACCTGTGGCTCAAGTGGCTAAGGTGCCAGCCACATACACCTAAGGTGGCGGGTTTGAATCCAGCCCGGGCTGGGCCAAAAGAACAATGACAGCTGCAACCAAAAAAATAGCCGGGCGTTGTGGCGGGTGCCTGTGGTCCCAGCTACTTGGGAGGCTGAGGCAGGAGACTCGCTTGAGCCCAGGAGTCGGAAGTTGCTGTGAACTATGATGCCACAGCACTCTACCCAGGGGGACAGCTTGAGGCTCTGTCTCAAAAAAAGAAAGTTACCAGTGCAAAGTATTTTATTATAGTGGCCTGAATAGACTAAGGCACTTACCTTACAGTGTCATCCCTGAGCAGTATCTCTGCCTCTAATTTTCCAACAGCTCAGAAAGCCCATTTCTCTTTTGCATTCAAGTTCTGAAGATTCACCTTGATCACCTTGACTGGTCTTTGGTGCTTTCTGGACAAAGTTCCATCATTACTATGTACCTAAGTCATTCCTAGGGTTGGGCATTTCTGTAGATATCTCAGCTCATCAATTTGATGATTGAGGGCTCCTTTTTCTCTGAATTTTGGGAATTCCCTATTTAATTTTTTTCTTTCTGTCAGTATTACTAGGTCTCTGTGTCCCTATCTCTATCTTACTTTCAACATTTGCCACAGTGAGGTCCTGGCCTGCTAAGAAGAACTGCTCTGTTTGGTTTTTGTTGTTGTTGTTGAGAATAACAAATGTTATTTTGAATTATTAACTTCCAGGTTTTTGTATGTTTATGTAATACTATATATAACATTTGGTAAAAAATTATAAACCTCTGTCATCAAATAGACATGGTTTCAAGTCCCAGTACTGCCATTTTCTACCCTTTTTATCGAGAAGTTATTTAAATTATCTAAGCCTCAATTTCCTTTTCCAACAAATGAGGACAATAATACTAATAGGTAATTGCTAGGTTTGTTTTGAAGGTTAAAGAAGATAACATACATACAACACTGAACATGGTGGCCAAAGTATGGCAGTAAGTACATGATAAATGTTGGGTAGTGTTTTTTTATTTCAAATTAATATGAGGGACAAATATTTAGGTTACATTGTTTTCATTTCTAAAGTAAAGTTTGAGTTGTAATTGAGCCTTCACCCAGGGAGTGTGTTGAACACTCTTACCTTGTGCACATCAAGTGAGAACCTGCCAATCACTGTCCCTCTTCCCCTTTC